GCGGTTGCAGTGCATCGGGGGGAAGCAACGGGGCGGCTGATGCAATGCGATTGCAGTGTAGTGCAGGTCAGAGAACGAGCGTTGCCATCGATCAAGTTGACCGCCCAGACGCATGAGAACTATGGTGCAGGGCCTCATGAAGCTTGTCGACGCTGAACGACTCGACGCGCCACATGTCGATGCCGCGCCACCACCTTCGAAAACGAGCGGAACGGCCGGTGTGAGGAAGGGCTCCGCGAGGAAGATAAACCATTCGACCAAATCGACCGCCACTCAAGAGCGCAAGACACGCGACGCAACGATTCATCCGACTGCTGCCGACCACGCGGTCGAGATGCGATCGCGCGAGCGGCTGCCCTCAACGAAAGACAATCAAAACGTACAAGTGCATCTCGGGCGGCTATCAGTCGCCGCCAGTCGCCGCGCTGCCGGCCGGCGCACGCGCGGCGCATCGAGCCCACGGTACTCAGGTCGATCAAGTTGACGTCGTTCTGCGGCGGGTTCCCGAAAGCTCGCTCGGCGACGTGGCGAAGCACGGGCGGGTTCCAGCCCCGTCCGAACCCAAAAACTGCGCCTGCGCCGAATTCGGGGCGGGACAAATGACTTCTTTGCAAAAGGGGCCCCCCTTGAATCAAAAACATCCTGGCTCATATCTGAACAATGCAAGCATGCAGCGCAGAGCGACGCAGAACACAGATCAGATACTTACTTGGCGATGTCTGAGAACCGAGATGGCGGCAATATACCACGAGGAAGCCACGATGACATAGAGACTTGACGCGCGACGATGAGCGGCGACAATGCGCGAACCAAGATGACCAACAAATTACAGGAGTCAAGAGAACAACAAACTGATGGAATAGGACAGCAAGCCATTGGAACGCTAATTTGGGATGTCAATAACGCGTGCGATAAATGAGCTTGCATGAAACATGCCCTGTACCGTGATATGGATCACTTTGGTAGGGGTCGTAACCGACGGGCGCCATGTCGACGTCTCCGTATATGACCTTCGGGCGGCAGATTATTGCGCGCGCCGAATCAGTTCCCCCCCCCCCCCCCCGCCGCCATGCAACGACAGTTCCCTTTTTAAACGATATGTTACCTGTTGCGTGGAAGCGGAGGGCGGGGGGAGATTGGGGCGCCCGCAAAGGCAGATCACATCGAGGCGGCGATTGCAATGACGTCCCGGGCAAGCCCACCGCTCTCCTGCAGCAGCCGCGTCCGCCCTTCTGCTTCCGAACGTTTAAATTGTTGTTCGGCTTCCACTCAGACGTGATCAGCCATGCACATATACTGAAACCAACTCCGCGACGAAATAATCACATGATATTTTGATTTCGCTGTTCATCGCCCCTCGGAACCCCGTCGGCGATGCCAAGCGGCAGCCCCCATGCCTCCGCCGCGTCGTAAGCCTCGTCTGCAAGCCGCCCGCGCGGGAGCGAGGGCGACTTGCTGAAGGAGCAGACGCGGTCGGCGCCAGGCGGGGTCACCTGGGCGCAGAAGGCAAACGCGCGCGGCCCCGCCGTCTGGCCAGCGCCACCCAGAGCTCAGGCACGGTGCGCGCGCACCCCCAGCCCACCGCCGGAGTGACCACGCTCCGCCCTTAGGCCCAGGAAGGCACTTGCCAATGCGGCGGCGGCGCATCGAGGCCCCCCGCGCAACCTAGGCCACGCGCGCGCAAGCCGCGCGCGCGAAAAAACACGCGGGGTTGCGCCAGCATTCCCAGCACTGGTTCACCTTGGGAGCCATTGATCTGCGATCACACCAAGGGCGATCGACCAAGCCTGAACGAGCAGGGCGATCGTCTCCGAACGGCGAGCTGGGAGTCTTCGCGACCGCGGTGATCCTGGTCGCGGCCGCGGACAGCGGCGGGAACACTTCCGAGCCCGCGGCCGACGCAGGCCACGGGTAATTGTCGTCCGCGCACTCGTCGTTCCAGTTGGCAGTGCTGGAGAGACGGCACAAGAACGCCATGGCGGCTCGGCCGAGAGTCTAGGGTGGAAAATGAAAAGGGATATCTGAGAAAGAGAATGGTTACCTGGAGCCGAACACGCTTCGGGCGAAGATGGTGATCGATGCCTTGGGGGCGCGCAGAGCCTGCGCGCGTGCGCCGACATGCGAGACGCCCCCTGGTGCTGCGACATGCATTGCAAACAATGAAGCAGAGTAACAATGATCACATTGAGCAAAAGAGAACAGGTCCTGCTGGTGAGTCGTATCCGAAAAGCTGGCGCAGCAGCAACTTGACGTGGGCGCATCGGGCTACCGTCGTCGGCGCGGCCCTGGCAGCGGGGCGGCAGCCGAAGCAGACCCATCGGGGGAAGACGCTGCAAGGTCGAACGAAGTCCCGAACAGGACGCCATTGCGACCGCCAGTGCGCACCCTTCAACGCGCGCACCACAGCGCCCGCACGTGCGCTCGCCAATGCGCACGCGGCGCGTTATGGATATGCACGCGGTGCACACGTTTTGGGCTCGCGGTGTGGGCGCGTTATGCACACTAAGTGCACCCAGGTTAAGGGTGCGCCCACATGCGTGGCGAGGGCTCATGAGGGCGCCGACACTGAGGCCTTCGGTGGCGCTCCCTATGGAACTTCGATCTTAACACATATGATATATGCGACAAACAGTGCGAAGCCATCAGTGGGCGCACCGCAACACACATCCAGAGCGCATATCAATCGCAAATGGCAGCACGGCGCGCACGCAGCGTGCACACGGTGTGCGCACACGAAGTCTCAGAGAAACAGCGGCGTGCACACGGCGTGCACACCGTGAGCACTTGGTGTGCAAACGTTGTGCACACGGTGTGCACATGGCGTGCACACCGCGCGCGCACGGTGTGCACACCGCGGTGTGCACGCCACGTGCACACAACCTGCACATGGTGTGCACACCGTGCGTACACAGTGCGCACACGGTGTGCACATCGTGTGCGCATCACACGCGCACGGTGTGCACACCACAGTGTGCACGCCACGCGCACACAACCTGCACGCAGTGTGCACACCGTGCGCACGCGGTGTGCTCATGGTGTACACACCGTGTGCACACCCCGCGCGCACGGTCTGCGCACCGCGTTGTGCGCGCCTCGGGCACGGTCGTAGTCGTAGTCGTAGTCGTAGTCGTACTAGTAGTAGTAGTAATAATAGTAGTAGTAGTAGTAGTAGTAGTGGTGGTGGTAGTAGTAGTAGTAGTAGTAGTAGTAGTAGTAGTAGTAGTAGTAGTAGCAGTAGGGTTCCTCCTGGGTTCCTGGGTACTGGGCCCCTCCATCGTCCGCATCCTTCCGATGCGCTCAGCCTTCTCCCTGCTGCGCGGTCGCGCAGGCGCGGCGGCGGGGTTCGCCGCGGGCAGGTGGGCCCACTGATGGATGAGGAAGAGGAGATGCGGTCTGAGCGGGGGGAGAAGGATGAAGGGAACAGAGGAACGAAGGAAGCAAAGAGGAAGAAAAGAAGAGGAAGACGGGAGGATGAGGATTAGGAGGAGGAGGATCATCGGAGTGGTCGCTCGCCGAGGGGACGGGGTGCTGGGGGGGCTGAGCTATATATATATATATATATATATATATATGTACATATATAGTTTATGTGCTCATGATTGTCGCGCGCGTCCCCTGTGAACAAGTGATGTACGTATGTATGTATATAGGTATGTCCACATATACACATTGCTTATATGCTCATGTTTTCGCGCGCGCCCCCTGTGACAGTGGGATGTGCCTATATATACACATGTATAGATATAATAGTTTATTTGTTTTGTTTCGCGCGGGCCCCTGTGAATATATATATATATATATATATATATGTATATATATGTGTATATATACACATATATTTTTTATATATATATGTGCGTGTGTGTGTTGCTCACATGTTTGTCACGCGCGTTCCTTGTGGCGATATGACGTGTGTACCTGTATATATATATATGTATATATATATATATATATATATATATATATATCATGTGTGTTTTGTTTCGCGCGAGCTCCCTATGAATATATGAGATGTATGTATCAATATCTACATATATGTTTATATAGCATGTTGCTGTATCGCGCGGGTTCCCTATGAGTCTATGTATACATATACTCATAAATAGCATGTAATGTATCATGGTTGTGTTGTTTCGCGCGCGCTCCCTGTGAACATATGACACATATATATATATATACATGTGCGAACCCCACTCCCTGTTTTTAGCGCTCCGCCAGGGGTCGCTTTGGTCAGGGCCGAGCCCCCCCCCGACAGGCCCCCCCAGGAGGAGGGCCAAGCATGCTCCCCCCCCCCAAGCTGGCGAGCACCAGCCAGGAGGAGCACGCTCGGGCACCTCGGGAGGCACAAGGCCGCCCCCCCCTGGGAGAGCCCGTCGGGGGCGAGGTTCTGGCTCAAGGCGGATCCCGAGGGGCTCAAGGCACCGAGGACCGCCAGACACACCAGCCTCGCAAGAGGCCGCGCCGGTCGTTGCCGGGCGGGCCAAAGTGACTACGGGTTTAAACGTGGTTTAAACGGCGAGCGCTTCCTGGGGTCTGGGAGCCGCATAGGCCCCCTTTAAAGGATACCATATGCTAACCCCACTTCCTGTTTTTAGCGCTCCGCCAGGAGTCGCTTTGGTCAGGGCCGAGCCCCCCCCCGACAGGCCTCCCCAGGAGGAGGGCCAAGCATGCCCCCCCCCCCCCCAGCTGGCGAGCACCAGCCAGGAGGAGCACGCGTGGGCACCTCGGGATGCACAAGGCCGCCCCCCCCTGGGAGAGCCTGTCGGGGGCAAGGTTCTGGCTCCACGGACCCTAAACTGGCTGCGCAGCGAACTCCACCGCCGCGACCCGAGAGTCTCACCCCATCGAAGGTTGATCAAGATGGGACAGAGAGGGACGATAAGGGAGGGCAGAAAACGAGCGGCGCGTTTACATCACCCGGCTTGCCAGATGTAGGCAGGCGGCGCGCTGGTCTGGCAGTAGCGAGAGCGTCGTCGCCTCAGCGACGGCGTCCTGGGCGCCGTCGCCTCAGCGACGGCGCCCTGGATGCGCAGGCGCGCCGCCCGCACGCTGGCCCAGCGCCCTCGGAGCAGCGCGGTCTCCATCGACCCGTGGAAGCGGAAGTCGGCGCTGGCACCTCCTCGCCTCCAGCTGTAGAGGGTGGGCCTCTGGTCCTCCAGCTGGAGGCGCGAGCGGATCTCCGCGAACACTCGCTGGAAAGCCGCGGGCGGCATGCCAATGGCTGGCTCCTCGCGCCGGCTGGCAGTCCCTGCCAGCTCGCGCGCCTTCAGTAGCAGCGCCACTGCTGTCTGCGAGCGCACCATGACGAACTCTCCCGCTCCTGTCTGGTGCTGGCTCTTGGTGTCGCGCAGCCTGGTCATGGCTGAACCTGAATTCTCATAAATAATGATGTCGTGCCAACGCAGCGCCATGATCTCCCCCGTCCTGAGGCACGTGTCATAGGCTGCCAGCAGGATGGCGGCGGCTGGGAATGCAGCCGCGAGAAAGCCGCCGGAGAACGCCAGTGCGATGAGCGGTGCGATTGGGAGCGAACGCCCTGCCGGCTCAGCACGCTGCCACGTGCAAGCCAGGCACCAACTCCCTCGGAGTCGACCGCGGAGCGGGGGGAAGTGGTGGCACATACCTGCGATGGCACAGTTGACGTCGAGCAGGGACCCTCCTGCGGCCCAGCGCCCTTCAATGTAGTCAACCAGGCCCACGTCCGTTTGCACTGCAGATTGGACCTCACGCTTCTGCTCGACCCACCAGTCAAAGGCGCTGTCAACCGCCTCCTGGTAGCGCTTCCGCGCGAGAGGAGTGACCGCCAGCTCGCAGGGGCCTGCTGCGGGCGGCGGTCCTTCCCGCCAGAGCCTTCGCTGCCACTCTCCTCACCTTGGCCGCTGCGCGCCCCTGTCCACCGGGAGGGGACGTCCGCGGGCATGTCGTCCGTGTCGCAGCAGCCGCACATCGGGTTGCAGTTGGTCGCAAGCGTGAGCGCATTGAGGCGCCCGAACCCTGGCTGGAGCCGCCAGGCGCTGGACCTGCACTTCGTGCAGACTGCTGCCACCGCTTGGGCATCGAGAAGATGCAGGTAGCGGCAGCCGTGCTTTGCCACGTCTCTGCAGCGCCACCTGGCTCCAGCCACTGCGGCCTCCAGCTCCAACTCAGAGATGTGAGCTGGTCGCTGCCACCTGAAACTCTTGGCGACGCGCCAAGCCCACAGCGACGTCCGCAGAGCCGACCTTGGCCACGCCCGAGCTCGGCATGGGGCACCACAGTCAAGCCTGACGCCCGTGCCCCCCCGATCGGCTATGCGCAAGAAGTCGACGATGAGCCCCCGCTCAGCGGTAGCGTGCCTGTAGCCAGGAGTCTTGAAATCGGCGTCGATGTTCCAGTTGGGCCCCCGCTCGCCAACTTGCAAACACAGCTCGGCGGGCAGCGGAGCGGACAAAGCTCCAATTTGAGCCAGCCAGCTGCCGAAAAGGAACATGACGCACTGGATACATAACGTATTACCGACAAGGCATTCCATGATGATGTCTCTTTCTGCCGAGGGGACGCTGTCCTTGACGGCTGCTTCAAAGTACCGCCTATCAAACCCCATGGGAACACCCCGCTCCTCAGCGACAGGGGGCCTACCTTGCGCTCGATCGGCGCTCCAGAGCAGCACGGCATCCTCATAATTGTTGACTTGATAGCGGTGCTTATCTGCGGCCCAGCGCGCCAGCGCAGCGGGGCTGGCACGCTCCAGGCCGACAGGCCTCAGCGGCGGGTGTCGCCGTGGTACTGGCCTGGTGAAGCAAGGAAGGCCCACCACAGGGTCGTCCAGCCTCCAACCTGGCAGTGGCCAAAGGTCAGCAGCGGCGCGCTCCACGCTGACCTCAACCTTGGTATACTGACTGATGCCCTCGCTCTTCACCACGATGCTCGTGCCGTGCGGAAGGTGACAACAGGCGGGACACGAGCACCAGAAAAGACGGGACCTGCGCACCCTGGTGAAGTCCTTCGCCTCTAACAGCACAGGCGCGACGCCCAGCGCCTGCGAGAACTGGCCCCTCGCCTCGGCGCCCATGCTGAACACGTTCTCGACGAACCAATCGACGCGCGTGCCGAACACGCGTTTGGAGGCTTCGATGAGGGCAGGGACCTTACATAATAACTTGCTCCTGTCCCCTTCCAGGCCCTTGCCCACCACGTTGAGGGTTGAGAGATCCTGGCGCGGACTCCCTGCAGCAATGAAGAACCAGTCGGCGTCGCGCCTGAAGCCCTCCAGCATGCGGGTGAAGCGCTCAAGGTCCAAGGCCTCGATGTTGCCCAGCTCGATGACACCTGGCCACCGCCGCCGCACCAGCCGTCGCGCTGCCGGCTCTACCTCCGAGCAGAGGTGGGCGGCCACGCTCATGGGCAGGCGATGCGCGGCCACGGCAGCGGCAGCAGCCCCGGATAACAACTCCACGAAGGTGACGCGGGGCCGCCATCGCATCATCTGAGGCGCAGCGAAGGTGGTGTGCACGGCCTCCTCGCACAGTCCTCCTTCGCCAGTGGCGGCCTGCACTCCCCGAGCGGTGAGCCCAGCAGAATAGCAGATGCCGCCCGCCTGTTCGCTCGCATCCGCGGCTATCACCCCCATGTCGATCTTGGCCCGCAAGCCGGTGAAAGCTAGGGGGGGGGGGCCACGCAGAAGACCAGGAACTCGCCGCACATGACAGAGGGCACAGCTTGCGGGCACCGCCACTGCCCAGCCGCCCATCACTCGCTCAGGAACCCCATGAACGGCCGGCGGAACTCCGCCACGCGCACACAGCGGCCCAGCACCACAAGCATTGCCTTGACCGTGACCTGAGGCTGGCCCATCACCCACATCACGAGCGCTAAGAGCAGGAGCTGCTTCTCAACTGTGACTCCGACTCGCCCGACCATGCCGTTTAGTCCAGCACCCATGCGCTCCAGGACGAGCTCGCGGTGCTTGGCCTTGCCTTCAGCAACTCGGATGCCGCTCCTCTTGTAGGCGGCTCGCTGCTCAGCCTGGACCTCGCTAAGCGGGCAGGCGGCTACTCTGGGCGATCTCCCCGCGGTCCCAGTCGTCGATGTAATACTGCGCCCAGGCTTGCTCCAGCTCCTTCGCTCCCAGGAGCAACGGGCGGGCCTCTCCTCCATTCAGCTTGGGGAGGGAACCCTGCAGCAAGTGGCTTCAGCCCAAAACCGAGCCGCCGATGGCAGTGCTGGAAGACTGTGACAGCATTGATCCAGCCCATCGGGATGACACGCAAAGCGATGTGCGTCTTCCCTGCCCCGTTGACCCCGATGAGCTCGTTGGGGATCGCCTCAGCCAGGGTCATGTAGGGCTGCCACGCCTCGGGCAACTCGCAGCAGTAGAATGCTGATGCCTGATCGTCGGAAGACCACAGCAGCACATGTCCCTCAGGAAGTGGAATCGAAACCCACGACGGCGAGGCGCTGAGGGTACCGATGTCATCCCGCATCGTCCGCTGGTAGCTGTTTGCAGGGACCATGTTGATGATGAGCCGCTGCACCACATCATGACCCCAGCGCCCTCCTGTTGCCCACCTTGAAGATCCGGTCATCGGCGATGGGCACCGCGAGGCCTAACTCCACCTGCTTGGCGCCGATGCGATGCCACTCCGCCTTCGAGCTAGCCTGGATGGCTGCCCGCGGGACCTCCTCTGGCCACTCGGCCTTGGGCAGCAGTGCCAACGTGGGATCAGCCAGCCACCCAGCCACACGCTCGTCGGCGATGTCCAGCGCACGCACTGAAGCAGCAACGCCCCTCGGCGGGAGGCCTGGCATGACGCCTCCCAGCGTGAGCGGCAGGGCCCGCGTTACCTCCTCGCCTCCGTACGTGATATCACGTGCAGCAGCGACCTCATGCCAGTCAGGAACCTGGAAGTCCTTCGCGGAGTCTGTGGCGAAGTACTTGGCAGCCTTGCGAATGACACGCATCGAGCTCTCCTGCGCAGCCGTAAGAGGACCAGTGGGGACTGGGCTGCCCTTAGCGTGCCCAGCACATTGGTGGTTCAGGGAGTGCACGACCAGCACTGCCCAGCCCTTAGCGATTGCAGCATCCAGGCCAGTCTCGGGGACCGTACCATGGTCAAGCCACTCTGCACGGCACCTCATAAATCCAGGAGCGTCAGGAATGGGAAGCGGCAGCACCTCGCGCATCCGCGCGCGGCGCGCTCGCTGCACTGGCGGAGCGCTACGAACAAACCTCCCGACATCTCCTGGGGCACCGTGCACCGCCTCGTAGAACATCATGACTAGCTCGAACCGTGGCCGCCCGCCTGGCCCCCCTGCGCTGGCGAGTAGCTTCCTCCAGCGGCGGCTCTGCACAGGTCCTCGTAGGCGCTGCTCCTCGCGTGCGCCCTCCGCACCTGTATGGCTGCCAGCAGCAGTTGCCACTCTCTGGCCTGCCTGGCCGGGGCTCAGCGCCTCTTCGGGGCCCAAGGCTGCCTCGCCACCTTGGTCCGGGTTGCGCCGCGCCCGCGGCCTGGAGCAGCTCCTCGTCCTCGACCTGCTGCCGCTGCTCCTCCTGGCCCGCTCCGGCGAGCCATCTTCGAGACGACCAGGCGCGACTTCCAGTCGCGGCGACTCTCGTCGGGGCGGCGGGGGTTCGCAACCTTCGACTCCTTCCAGGTAAGCTGAGGACGAGGGTCCGCCGCCGTGCTGTCGGGGCTCCCGTCCGCAATGGCCGGCAGCTCTGGAGGCAGCCCGCTCTGCACTGCTGCTGCTGCTGCTGGGCCCTCGCTGAGCCTTGGAGATCCTGGCGCCGAGCGTGGGGCAGTCCTCCGCTTTGCTGGGGCTGCCCTGCTGACTCCCACTGGGGCGCGGCTCGCCAGGATCCGCAGCGCCGCAGCAGAGCCCGCCACGGGCGTCGCTGCCGGGGTCTGGGGCCTCGCCTCCGCGAGACTGTGGCCAGCAGGAGCCGCTCCCCCCCGGGCTGGAGAGGGCTCCCGGCCAAACCCCTAGCCCGACAGGAGTCCTTGCGGCGTTTCAGCTCGGCGACCTTCATCTCGCGCGCCTCCGCCCGCTCGGCTGCAGCCTCCTCGTCGCGGGGCGCGCCAGCGGGCAGGCTCTCGCTGGGGATCAGTGTGAGCCACCGAGCACTGCGCCAATGGCCATCCCGCAGCGCCATCGTCCTGGCCTTGAACTCCTGCATGAACAAATCGCTGACCTCGACGACCTGGCCGCGGAGCAAGCCGTCGATCACCTCGCCCAGCGTCCGCAGTACACGCACCTCGCCCGCGTCGAGCGTCCGCGGGGGGTGTGCCACGAAGAACACCGTGTTGAGGTACTGCGTCACGCACGGGCCGAGGGGGTCTGCCTGGCTGGGGTCGGCGAGCAGTTGAGTGAACTGGCTCCTGAGGTGCGCCAGCCCGTTCTCAAGGAGGGCCCCCGGCCGCTGCTTCGCGATCTGCTGGAGCAAATCGCGCCTGACGTTGACCCCCCGATAAGTGTCGCGATCCAGCACGCCCGAGCCCTCGCCGCTGAGCTCGCTGCCATCCTTGCCGCCCAGCAGCGCTGCCGTGAGCATCGCGACCAGCCTCTCGCGTCCAGCAAGCGCAGCAGAGACTCGAGCGCCACTCCCCGCGGCCGCGTGTTCCTGCACGCGCTGCGCCAGTGCCCGAGCAGCGCCAGGCATAGCAGCATTCTTGACGACCGCTCGGGCCCCCGAGCCGCCGCCCGTGCCACCCCGCAGCCGCTGGCCGAGCTGGGCCAGGCGCCCGCCCAGGGCTGGGTCCTCGAGCGCCCGCCCCAGCCCTGCGACCTCTGCGTCGAGCGGGCTCCCGCCGAGTGCCGCCGCGCCACCGAGAGCAGCACTCGGCTCCTCCTTGCGGGCCCGCTTGGCCGCTGGCTCGCCCTCGCCGCCATCGGCCCCCTCTGTCACTGGGGGCGGGGGCTCCGGCAGCGGCGGCAGCGGCGCAGGCGGCATCCCAGCATGCCGTGCGGCGCCCTCGTCGCCAGAGCCAGCCTGGCTCGCCCCAGGCGTCGGGCAGCCAGAGGACTCGACGCGCAGCCCTCCAGCGGCCCGCGGGGCGAGGTGGCACTCCGCCTCCAGCGTCTCCAGGTCGCAGGGGTCGACCACCCGCCAGATGTCGATATGCTCGACGCCTCCAGCGCCGATCGGGCAGCCCGCCGTGCACTCCTCCTGTGGGCAGCCGCAGAGGTGGTACAGCGTGCCCTGGGGCCTCCCGCCAGGCTTGCCCTCGGCCTGGGCATGCCAGCTGAAGTGCCCGTCGGTGGCCCCCACGTGCTGCGCCCGCAGGTAGCGGCCGCCCGCCGAACCCGCATCTGCGGTGGTCTCGCCCAACGCGTAGGCGATCTCCACGCGCAGCAGCTCGCGGCCCTGGGCGCGGCCCTCGTAGTCGCGGACCTTCACCTCCAGGTGATCCCCAGCGGCCAGCCCCACGGACCCCAACAGCTCGCCGTTCGACCTCCCATCGAACCATGCGCCCCGAGGGAACGGCCAGCGGGGCCCACGAGCGCGCATCCGCCGCCAGTGCCTCACGGCACCATCCACACTCCTCTTAGGGCGGTGCCGGGAAACTGGGGACTGCGGCCAGGGGAGAGGGGGGCTGTCGCTGGCCGCGAGCAAAGCGGAGGGGGAAACCTCGCCGCGAGGTCCCCCCGCTCCTCCTGCCCCAGAGGGGCCTAAGCCAATGTGGCTACGGGTTTAAACGTAATTTAAACGGCGAGCGCTTCCTGGGGTCTGGGTACCGCATAGGCCCCCTTAGCAGGATACCATATACATATATGTGTGTATGCATATGTGCATATATATACACATACATATACATATGCATATACATATACATATACATATACATCATGCGTTTGTTGGTTCGCGCGCGTTCCCTGTGAATATGTGATACATATATATAATGTGTATGTATATATATATATATATATCGGTTGGTTGTTTCGCGCGCGTTCCCTGTGAGTATCTGGTATATGTAATCGTGTTGTTGTTTCGCGCACGTTCCCTGTGAATATATGATATGATATCGCTCGTACATGAGGGGCGCCACTAGTGTCCTTCCGAGGCCTACGCGGGCACTCTAGTTAATTCCACGAGAGCCACTGCTGCTCGTCGAATTTCGTATAGATGACCAGCCCACTCCTCTTGCTGGAGCGACGGCGGATGCGAGACACGTGCAGTGTTGTACATGTGGAACGCCATGACAATGGCCTCCACGGCCTCGAGAGTCGGGGCTCCATTGAGCCCGATCCTGGCCAGAATACAAGACGGGGGGCCACGGTCCCTTGGATAGGCCAGACCCCACAAAACTTCACGCTGGATGTAGTGAGCAAAAGTATCTGGGGCTGGGATCAGCGGGGGCTCACGGCAACGAAATTTACAAGCCTGTACTCCGCCCGCCGCGTGGAGCCTGGCCGTTGTTAGCCACGCTCCCACTATCGCCTTCAGCGCTGCACTCTGCCACGCAGGGCTGACCTGCTCGAGTATTCCACGGAGAGGAGGCCAGGAGTGGCGAACAGCACTGAGGCCCCAAGATTTCTGACGCCGCGCCAGCACACTGGGGAGAACGTCGGGGAAAAGGGAGGAGTGAAGGGAACGAGAAATAGTTTTCTGGACCCGCACGCGTGCCGCCCTCTCCTCGGCAGCAGCGCGCTCCGCATCCAGGGCGCGCCACGCCTTGGCGGCATGGCATGCGAGCGATGTCTCACTCACGAAGCCCTCAGAGGCCGCCGCCAGGCTCACCAGCACTGGCTGTGTATTCCAGTGGACGGGCGTGCACCGCGCCTGGCCGATCGCCAGGAGGGAGCCGTGGCTCACCGTCTGCTCCTGGAGCCATGAGTGAAGGCTCTGCCAGTTGGTGATCGTGACCGTCGCAGCTCTCATGAGGGACGCGAGTCCTGTGGCCTGCATAGACCTGATCCTCAGCGAGGGCGCCCACTGCCCCAGACTGAGAAGATCGTTCCTGGCCAAACTCTGCGGCGGCATGTGCCAGATCTTCGTGATGGCCCACGCCTCACGATCCAACAGCTCCTTGGGCACCCGCGCGACCTGCTGGAGGTAACCCAGCACAGGAAGGACCCTCTGGTTATAGAGCTTGGCCGACAGCGACGAGTGAGCCCCGCACTACATACACACATATACATGTGTATATGTGAATAATTGTATATATATAGTGTTAACGTTTTTTGTCGCGCGCGTTTCCTTTGAACATATGATGTACATGTGTTGTGTGATTGTTTGGTGGGCGCGCGTTCCCGAACCCGAACCCGAGCCCTTACACCCTTTATACCCTCTTTAAGCGGAACAAGGACACCGGACAGCCCTACTACTACTACTACTCCTCCTCCTCCTCCTCCTCCTCCTCCTACTACTACTACTACTACTACTACTACTACTACTACTACTACTACGACTACTACTACTACTACTACTACTACTACTACTACTACTACTACTACTACTACTACTACTACTACTACTACTACTACTACTACTACTACTACTACTACTACTACTACTACTACTACTACTACTACTACTACTACTACTACTACTACTACTACTACTACTACTACTACTACTACTACTACTACTGCTACTGCTACTGCTACTACTGCTACTACTACTACTACTACTACTACTACTACTACTACGACTACGTACTACTACTACTACTACTACTACTACTACTACTACTACTACTACTACTACTACTACTACTACTACTACTACTACTACTACTACTACTACTACTACTACCACCACCTACTACTACTACTACTACTACTACTACTACTACTACTACTACTACTACTACTACTACTACTACTACTACGACTACGACTACGACTACGACTACGACTACGACTACGACTACGACTACGACTACGACTACTACTACTACTACTACTACTATACTACTACTACTACTACTACTACTACTACTACTACTACTACTACTACGCTACTACTACTACTACGACTACGTACTATTACTACTACTACTACTACTACTACTACTACTACTACTACTACTACTACTACTACTACTACTACTACTACTACTACTACTACTACTACTACTCGTCCCTCTCCTCCTCCCCCTCCTACTCCTCATCTTCCTCCTCTTCCTCCAGTCAGTTCGCAGCCAGCACAAGGAGCAGCAGCAGCCGCTGTGTAGGTTCGCCAACCCCGTGGCCTTCGCCAGCGGAAGCGGCGGGCCGCAAACCACCAGATCGTCACAAATGGCAAGCGGGGGCTGGCCAACTACCAGAACAAGTGACTATTGATGACAGCACCGCGACGTGGAGCAGATGCGCCACCAGATGGAGAGCAACATATCTGGAAGCCTCCGCATGGAGCGTTCTTATTCGACGTTTCGACATTGAGAGACGGGGGGTGGGAGGGAGGGGGGGTGCCTGGCTCCGGACCTCTGCCGAATGCCACTGTTTGCAGCAGTGCGTCCTGTAGGAGCGCCCAAAACAGCCAAGATCTACTCCAGGGGGGGGGGGGGAGGGGGTGCGAGGGCCCGCGCCGATCGGCAAAACAATGAATAGAGTGGAGGCCAGTCCACAAGAAACCTTGCACAAGAAACCCCACCCTGAGGCCCCAGGACATCCATCGATGTTTGGTGTGGGAAATGCACGTTTTCCATGGCAAACCAATGGAACACACAAGAAACCCAGGGCACCTTGGAGGCAAGCAGGGTGTTTCCTGGCATGGGCCTCCACTGTAAGAAAACGATCCCATGAGCAACGTCATCCTGGCCTCCAGGCCCTGCTTCGGGCCCCAGGGTGGGCCCACGGGTCGACGTGGCGGGGAGAAGAACTCCTGGGAAGGCGAGAGGGGCGACAGCTCTGGGGCCTGGGACGTCACATGATCTGTTCGTGGCATTGGTGACATGCGGCATCCCTATTGGGTCCAGGGGCGTCTGAGATTATGCGGAGAAGACTTCGAGGCGTGCGCTGTGCGGTCACTGGACGCCCTGTGGCGACATCCGACGTCGCGCGGGGCCCCTCTCTGGGAGACGCAGTTGGATCTAGACTGGCTCTGGACAGCTCTCCAGGAGCACTACCTCGCGAGGGCTCGAAGCTCGTACGGGCCCGTTTCAACAATGGAAGACCTTGCACTGCGTGACGGGCACCCCACAAAACCAATTCCACGGTACCCTCGTTCGATTTCGCAGTATGTGCTCTGCGGCCTGGCGGGCTGTTCTTCCACGCTCAGAGACTTGACCGAAACGGCAACCACGCCACACACCGCACATTTGAAACAGGGCTCCAACTACGCAACAGGTCAACAGAGGATCTGTTGGGCAAGACTGACACATGCTGAGAGATAGCCGGCCGTCCAGACAAGACTCCTGGAGCCGATGGGGAGTACGGGCATGTCGAGCGATCCGTCGCACTCTGGAATGAACAGCAAGGCGCATTGTACATGTGGTTTACGAGGGGTCAGGCTTTGGGGGTCATCCCCTTGACTGCGCCACGCCGAGATCTTCCAAAGGGTGCCCCATCCGTCCGCCGTTGTACACCCTGCGAAATGCTTAAGAAATCATGGGTTAAGAAATTCATAGTCTCAGAATTTGAATAAAAACCGAGAATTTCTATCAAAATCTTGGGATTTACATTGAAAAGTTAAGAATAATCGAGATTCTGGCCGAAAACTTAGGTTTTCTTAAGCATCGCCTAAGGTGTATATGAGACCCAGGCGCCCAGAGCAGAGCCAACATCACACTTTCAAAACAGAGGGTCCATGGGAGCAGGACTGGAAGAGGCTTGGTTACCTGTAGGGGCGAAGACAAGGAAGATAATGCGACAGGGCCCCAGAGAGCAGAGACTTGGGGGAAAAGAGAAAACGTGTACGAGTGCGACGCATGAGTGGGAGACCTTGGAGGCCACCGCGAGCTTGTCGGGTCCCTCCTTCATGATGTGCTCGACTACCAGTGAGTCGTTCGCCACCACTCCCAGGAGCACCTTGCAAAATGGCAGGTTCGCAAACATAGACGTACGGCGCGGAGGACACCTCGGAGGACGAGGCACAAAGAGGGAGAGGAAGAAAGCGAAGTAGAAAGGACAGAGACCCAGAGAAAGAGAGAGGGAGAAAGAGAGAACATAATCATAAAATCAGCTGCTCCACCACGTCTGTCCGCGGAGGAGCGCTGCGGCCCGCGCCCGGGACCCGGACAGAGCGGCGGCTGGCGCCCACCCCGGGAGGAATCCCGCAAGAGGACTTCTCCCAGGGAGCCTCCTGGGGCCGCGGGCTGCAGAAATCGGATCGGAGGAGGCCTGGACGGGAGCGCGTCCTGTGCGCGTTTTCGCCGTCTCATGGATCTCCGGACCCTCTGCGGGCCCCCCGGCCCCGGGGCCGTCGGGAGACGGCGGAGCACGAAGCGCTGCTCCTGGGGAAGCGACCTGGGGTCCCGTTCCTCCTCCTCCTCCTCCTCCTCCTCCTCCTCCTCCTCCTCCTCCTAGGTGGCTCCCCAGCGTGGCCCCACCCCGCCGCCCCCGCGC